AGAAGAGAGAAGTTACCACGACGTCTCGGTCCGACTTGGACCATTTACAGTCTTTATAAATGGTCCAAGGCCGACCGAAACGTCGCGGTAAGCTCCTCTCTCCTTTGTGCGGGTTATTTGTGTATTGCTCCAGTCATGGTATTGTGACTTTTTGTTATTAGTGTACCAATGTTACAATGTATTAATTTTTGCGTACCCACAACATGTATACCTTCGAGACCATTGTATGCTAATGTATATGTATGTTATGGAAGCAAATATGAATAGAAATATATTTATTTTGCAAAAAAAAAATCTTACAAGCACTCCAAAAATATGACGTGATTAAGATTTGCACATAATGTTATTTAAGACGGTGGAGGGGTAAGCCAGCGGAAGGTCACGGTCAGATAACCAAAAGCTCCTGCTGCGGGTCGTCATACGACTAAGACCCGCGTCAGTAAACCCTTGTCCTGTTTCCTGACGAATCTTACCCTGGTTATGCAGAGCATATCGGGCAAATTAGGTCAGTTTTGTCGCCAGGATGCGACCCACACCTGTCGACTAACACCCAGGTACCTATTTTACTGCAAGGTAAACAGGGACAGCAGGTGTCTTAAGGGAAAACGCCCTATTGTTTCTACCCGTATCGGGGATCGAACCACGGACCTCAGTGTGTGAGCAGAGTGCGCTACCAACCGAGCCACGGGACACCTAAGGTGAAAAGGTGGCATATTATAGTAGGTGGTGACCACACAAACAGCTGGAGAGAGGAGATGGAGGTTGAATGACAGAGAAAGAGAGAGACAGCAAGCAGGTCTATATTTACTCCTGGTTCCGCCAGCCCAACAGAGAAACACCCGGGCGCTCGTTTTTATTTTGGAGTGGGTTGTGGTGGGGTATGGTGGGTTATGGTGGTGTGCGGTGGGTTGTGGTAGGTAGTGGTGGGGTATGGTGGGTTGTGATGGGGTGTGGTGGGTTGTGGTGCGGTGTGGTTGGTTGTGGCGGAGTAGGGTGGGGTGTGGTTAGTTGTAGTGCGGTGTGGTGGGTTGTGGTGGTGTGTAGTGGGTTATGCTGGGATGTAGTGGATTGTGAAGGGTTAAGTACAGTTAGGAATGGGGGGGAGGTAGTTTGTAGTTAGTAAACAACTAAGTCAGAATCACAATTGCGTTATCAGAAAATACAAACGGATCACATTGTATCTAGAGACTCCACAACAACAAATACAACTGAGTGACGGTCAAAGAGACAACGACAAAATTTCTATACCACTGCTATCATTAAAATACTATGATACTTAATGTAAACATCCATTTAGAACACCAAGACCCTAATGGTAATGTCGTCGCCAGAGTAGAACCATTAACAATCCAAGAACCACAGGTGTAAGAAGCTACCATGTCTTTCCCACCTGGATCTTCATGTTTTATCAAGGCGTTAATTTCGCAACACATTAGATAATGCTTAACCAGGTGTCAGTGGTGCTGGCTGGCGTCTCCTGCCCCAGCTCTCAAGATATGCAAATATCTGCCTGGCGTCTTCCGTCACGGCTCACAAGATACGCCAATATCTGTCTGGCGTCTTCCGTCACAGCTCTCAAGATATGCCAATATTTGTCTGACGTCTTCTGTCACAACTCTCAAGACATCCCAGTATCTGTCCAACGTCTTCTGTCACAGCTCACAAGATATGCCAATATCTGTCTGACTGGTGGTGTTTCTGAGACCTTTTGTCTTCTCTACTGTGGTGCATCTCTGCACTAAGAAACAAATATGGAGAAATCAGACTCATCAATGTTGGCAGGTGTGTACACCGCTTTATTGCCAGGGCTGCAGTGATGAAGCCACCATGCTAAGGTCAAGGTAGCAGTGATGAAGCCACCATGCTAAGGTCAAGGTAGCAGTGATGAAGCCACCATGCTAAGGTCAAGGTAGCAGTGATGAAGCCACCATGCTAAGGTCAAGGTAGCAGTGATGAAGCCACCATGCTAAGGTCAAGGTTGCAGTGATGTAGTCATCATGCTGAGGTCAAGGTAGCAGTGATGAAGCCACCATGCTGAGGTCAAGGTAGCAGTGATGAAGCCACCATGCTGAGGTCAAGGTAGCAGTGATGAAGCCACCATGCTGAGGTCAAGGTAGCAGTGATGAAGCCACCATGCTGAGGTCAAGGTAGCAGTGATGAAGCCACCATGCTGAGGTCAAGGTAGCAGTGATGAAGCCACCATGCTAAGGTCAAGGTTGCAGTGATGTAGTCATCATGCTGAGGTCAAGGTAGCAGTGATGAAGCCACCATGCTGAGGTCAAGGTAGCAGTGATGCAGCCTCCATGCTAAGGTCAAGGTTGCAGTGATGTAGTCACCATGCTGAGGTCAAGGTAGCAGTGATGTAGTCACCATGCTGAGGTCATGGTAGCAGTGATGCAGCCACCATGCTGAGGTCAAGGTTGCAGTGATGTAGTCACCATGCTGAGGTCAAGTTAGCAGTGATGTAGTCACCATGCTGAGGTCAAGGCAGCAGTGATGTAGTCACCATGCTGAGGTCAAGGCAGCAGTGATGTAGTCACCATGCTGAGGTCAAGGTAGCAGTGATGTAGTCACCATGCTGAGGTCAAGGCAGCAGTGATGTAGTCACCATGCTGAGGTCAAGTTAGCAGTGATGTAGTCACCATGCTGAGGTCAAATTAGCAGTGATGTAGTCACCATGCTGAGGTCAAGGCAGCAGTGATGTAGTCACCATGCTGAGGTCAAGTTAGCAGTGATGTAGTCACCATGCTGAGGTCAAGGCAGCAGTGATGTAGTCACCATGCTGAGGTCAAGGCAGCAGTGATGTAGTCACCATGCTGAGGTCAAGGCAGCAGTGATGTAGTCACCATGCTGAGGTCAAGTTAGCAGTGATGTAGTCACCATGCTGAGGTCAAGGCAGCAGTGATGTAGTCACCATGGCAACTGGAATTCGTAAATCCACAAGGCAGTAAGGGAGCAGCAGCAGCAGCAGCAGTCCGTATTGCAGGTGCACACGTCAGTAACCCCATATACCAGAAATCTACGATCAAGCTGGCCTTGCAGATGCCTTTAATTCAATGAAAAGTGGATACTAACTGTTGTTCATGACTATGCATGGATAAAAGGATCATTCATAGTCATGACTGTGGATAAAAAATAATAGACTACTGTATTCACTCATGTTGCAACGGTTTCTTGAAAATTCTCTTTGGAGAGCCAGAAGTCGTCTCACGTGAACTTTACAAAGAATACAATAAACAATAAAGCTCCTGGAGAGCGAAACGTTGCCGCAATAAAACGTCTCATTAGTCGCACATGTGTCCTTTTATCTAATAATAACAAATTTGACGACAGCCAGGAAGATGACGGTGTGGATAATGAGAAGTTTCAAAGGTTAGGTTCGTCAGGAAACAGGACAAGTGTCTCCTGACGCGGGTCTTAGTCAGATGATGACCCGCCATTGGAGCTTTTGGTCATCTGACCGAGGCCTTCCGCTGGCTTACCGGTCCACCCCTTTAAAAATTATGGTCATATTTATAACCATTTCTAAGTATTGAGAACTTTCAAAATAAGAGAAATAGCCCCAGTGGTGACTTTCCAAATCGCATGTTCTCTCTCGCCTGGAATATTTAGCGTTGACGGCACCGTTCAGGACACGGGAGATATCAGAACTGAAACGAATACAGAGATCATATACGGCCCGTATACCGCCATTAGAGCATTTAAATTACTGGGCACGCCTTAAGGTCCTAAATATGTGCTCAGGGGAGTGGAGACATACATTATAATATATTGCTGGAAAGTACTTGAGGAACTTGTTTCAGATCTGAACACTGCCGTAACAACACTGAGAAAAAAATATTGGAGGAAGTGTAAAATAAACCCAGTGAAAGGCAGGGGCACTCTGAGCACAGTAAGACCTTAATAATAATAATAATAATAATAATAATAATAATAATAATTTTTATTTCTACAAATACGTGATGTCAGACCATGGCTGACATTGAACATTTCGGGCAACTTAGGCTAATCTTTTCTCCAGGATGCGATCCCACACCAGTCGGCTAACACCCAGGTACCTACTTCCTGATAGGTGAACAAGGACACCAGATATATTAAGGAAACATGTTCGAATGTTTCCACCCGTACCGAGATCGAACCACGGACACTCAGTGTGCGAGGTGAGTGCGCTATCAACCGAGCTACGGGACACCGTCGCTGTGAAGCAAGCCATTACAAAGATTCGCTCTTGAAGAAGACTGGACTCAAGTATCTGGTACTATTTAGGACCACAAATCACTCTGATGATGTCACTGGTTTAAAATGTTGAGAAATGTAAACAGTAATCTGTTTAACAAGGAGAGAACGTACAAATATTGTTAGATTGTTGTTTGGGTACACATTCCTATGGGACCAGAATGACGACACTGACCCTAAGTAAGCAAGCTTATTTAGACACTGGTAAAAATAAGTACAATTACCCTACATAGTGTAAGTTACTTAGAAGAATAACTCCCCCCAGAAAAGTCAAAGTGACCTATTTCCATTGGGGTCCTCTTTATACATGTGTTTGGTCTGGAAGGGGTCAGCACTTCCGTGGTCACCACGGAGGTGCTGACCCCTGGAAATGAATACAGGTAACATACATGTAATCCTGACTCACATCATATACTATCATATGGCCAAACGTCCGCCAGTAGATGTAAACTATACAGGAACTCGTCCCTAATACAGGAAAAGTTCGGTTCTGGCTGGGCGATTTACGTTATAGATGTACCCAACTTTGATTTCAAGGAGAAGTGGATAAAAGGCTTTAAGGAAAAATATTTGGATTTTTGCCTGAAGCCATTGGAATATTCTGCTTCCCCTACCACCCCGTCTTTAATAATTTTTTACCAATATGTATATTTTATTGCATAATGTGGTACATAAGACTTAAAAGGATGCATTGCTGGTACAAAGATGACATATTTACATATTTGTATATTTGTATCTCAACAGATATATAGCAGTACACTCACTGTTGAACGTGTAGAGTGATGTAAACTTGAATGACTCTGCTGGGGTCACCCTCGCCTCTACCATTCCACCACCATCATCCCGAAGATAACCTGGAGTGACCTGATGAATGACTGGGAGGTGGCTGTTATCTCTGGTGATTCCTGGGGTAAATTTGACCCCTGGTTGACCCGTGGAGTGGCTGGTTCAGCCGGTGTCTTGGTCCCTCACTGACTTTAGGTGACCCTAGATGACCTCCAGAGCGGATGTACCTCTTGAGTAACCTCACGAACAACTGTGACCTAGTAGGTGAGATGGGAGGGGAAGGTGGCACCACCACTCTGAGGTCACAGTCAATATGGCACCTACAAAGTGCCTTTGGCCACTGATTCTTCCGTCACTGCTGGAACTGCAGCCGAAGACGAGCACAAGCAGTGAGGCACTGCGTAGAAATTATCACTTCACCCGAAACTGGCACTGCATTGGGTGGCACTACACTGAGTGGCACTGCACTGAGTGGCACTGCACTGAGTGGCACTGCATCACCTCCCCGACTCACCGACTGTGGGAACACCGCCCCACCCCAACCTCATGTGCCAACTCTTGCTTCTATGTGGTTGCCAACACCCCACACACCCCCAACACCCACCCTCCCACCCTCAACAAAATAAACCCCCCACCCACCCACTATATTCACCCTCCTCACGTCTCCCCTTCACACCCATCTCAAGAATGTCAGAATCTCCCCCACCCTCAACTCGCGTCTCCACCCACCCCACCCTCAGAACATCCTCCCTGAGCGTACACCCTCTCTCCACCATACCTTCACAAGTATAGAGACAAAGACACTGCTTGCATAACAAGCTTTAATGACTTTACGAAGCTCTACACAAGGTGAAAGATGACTTTATAAGCTCTACACAGATTGCAGCATAACTAGATAAAGTTCGACATAGTGAAACATGATAAATCTCTGCACAGAGTGAAACATGACTTTGTAAATCAAATCGCAAATGGAAACATAACTTTATGAACCTCTACACAGAGTGGAATATGATTTAATGAAACTCTCCACAGAGCGAACCCCACAAGGGGGGGGGGTTCGGGGGTTCTTTGAATCAAACCTGAGTGCCTTCCATTTTCCCTAGGCGCTGCATGACTCCTACCAGGTTCAGCGCTCCCTCACATATACAGTCCCCTGAGCGAAACGTAACGCAATTAAGCTCTAAATAGAGCAAAACGTTACCCCAATAATAACTTGCTTTCCAACGTTGCTCCTTTGACTTCATGTGAGAGATAGTGAGGAGACAGAACTCTCGTGAAAGAATTTGTAGCCTAGACAGCTACCTTCACCTCACCACCAGTTGTCTCTTCAGTATCCATCCTCATTCAAGGGGGAAGGATTTTATCTGGAGGAATTTGAACTAGCCTCCCATTTCTTACATCAAAAACTCCATTACCTCCCATCCCCAGGTGCTGTGTATCCATTATAGCAGGGATTTTTAAATTGGGATATCCATACCACTAAGGGGTATGGGAGGCATATAATGGGGATATGGTTTACCTGGAGTTTACCTGGAGAGAGTTCCGGGGGTCAACGCCCCCGCGGCCCGGTCTGTGACCAGGCCTCCTCGTGGATCAGAGCCTGATCAACCAGGCTGTTGCTGCTGGCTGCACGCAAACCAACGTACGAGCCACAACCCGGCTGGTCAGGAACCGACTTTAGGTGCTTGTCCAGTGCCAGCTTGAAGACTGCCAGGGGTCTGTTGGTAATCCCCCTTATGTATGCTGGGAGGCAGTTGAACAGTCTCGGGCCCCTGACACTTATTGTATGGTCTCTTAACGTGCTAGTGACACCCCTGCTTTTCATTGGGGGATGTTGCACCGTCTGCCAAGTCTTTTGCTTTCGTAGTGAGTGATTTTCGTGTGCAAGTTCGGTACTAGTCCCTCTAGGATTTTCCAGGTGTATATAATCATGTATCTCTCCCTCCTGCATTCCAGGGAATACAGTTTTAGGAACCTCAAGCGCTCCCAGTAATTGAGGTGTTTTATCTCCGTTATGCACGCCGTGAAGGTTCTCTGTACATTTTCTAGGTCAGCAATTTCACCTGGGACTCCATCTCTAAACAGTTGGCCGCTTTTTCTATAAATATAATAAAATCCTTATGATTTTATCTTTAAGCTGTTTTTTCCTAGCTAACCGTATGTAATGTAAAACTAAGCTATTGATATTTTCTGAAGTCATGCTGGTACCTAATAAGACTGGTGGTGATGATAATTTCAATAGACTAGTGAAGGGAGTATGGAAACATATTGGGCAATCCATTGTGGGTCTGTAATCGTAAAAAAAAAAAAAAGATTAAGAACCTCTCGCAGGTAAAATACTCAAGGGATTAGAGTGGTGGCAGCGGTGGGATTGTGGTTGTCGGCTAGTTGTACCATAGGCTACTACTAGCCTGGTGGTTTTATTTCTCGAAGCTGATAAATAAGACGGGCACAGCCTGGAAAATTAGACTCCTGTGCAACATTTGGGAATTTTCATTGTGTTCCACAGAGATACTAAAATATTGTACAAGTTCCTCATTCTTTACCCCTGATATCTTTATTGAAAGATGTTTCTCTGTGTACCAAGTTTCACCAGTCTGGTGGTGAGTTTACAGCTTGCAGTGACTGCAGTCGTATTATACAGAGGAGATTTGACTCGCAGTGGCAGCTCATGTGGGGGTGCTGTGGAACTGCAGCACCCCCTATTTTCACTCGATATTATTGATAACATTCAGTATAATGAGTCTTGTTTTATTTTAATTCTTTCTTTATACTTGTACATTATATAATAAAAAAAATAAAGAAAATAGGGAGTGCTGCAGTTCTGCAGCACCCCCGCACGAGCCGCCACTGGATTTGAGCACAGAATCTAGGTAGTCATCAGTAGTGGATTACGATCCCATTCAAGCTTTCTTACCCTACAGACTACCAAGTGTGTATGCTCGATACTCCAGTCTGCTTTTCTACTTTGTACATTACTGACGTGTGGGACACCACCTGGAGATGAAATCAGAAGCTCATCAACGGAGATGAGTTTTTTCATCTCCAGCATCCACAAAAAATAATTCTTTAAAAAAAAAATATATTTATTTTAAGAAATTTAAATAATTTATTTTTCTTTAAAATATTATTTTTTCTTTAAATATTTTTTTAGTAATTTTTTTTTTATTTTTTAAGAATAATATTTTTAGAGAAATTTTATGTAAAGATTTTTTTTAAAGACATATTTTTAATTATTTTTAAAGAAAGAAATTTAAAGAAAACTTTTTTTAAGTGAACTTTCAGTGTGTATATATATATATATTATATATATATATATATATATATATATATATATATATATATATATATAATATATATATATATATATATATATATATACACTGAGAGAAATAATCTTCTCAATGTATATATCCTGTGACGTGTTTTTTTGTCTCATATAAACACTTCATAAAATTACTACTTCTACATGAATGACGAAGATAAAAACGATAATGTAGATGATTGTCATGCGAATAAACATATAAAAAAACCACAGTAAATGTAAAAAAAATTTTGGAAGGGTTTTGACAGCGCCCCCTTTACGGCACTTTTTACGGCTTTTCGCTAAGCAGCAGTTTTAACTTTTTCCCTTCTATTTATTCGACTTTCTGCAAAAATGTTGGAAGTCTGAAAAAATGTGTGCTTTGATATGCTTTTTAAAAAGGCTTAACTCTATTGCTATTAATATATAATAGTGTAAACAGTTATCAGATTTATAGCATCAGGAAGGGAAAAAAGGGTGTTTCGCTTTACATGGTATCCCAAAACTTAACCTCGTATAAGCGGGGCCTCCCTATAATTACGTTTTTAAACCCCCCAGGAAGAATGGAGGGATGAAAAGGTAGAAAATAAAAGACAACTCTTTTGGGTACACTTTTTTGGCCCCTAATAGGGGGGACAACGGGGTAATATTAACAATATTGGAACAGGAAAAACATTAACTTTACAACATTTCACCCCGGAGAGGAAAATATTTAAGAAATAGTGCATTTTTTCGTCGGGAGAGCACCTCAAATTGGTAAATAAGATACATGTCAACGTTGGTATTTTTTCCGAAACGTTTGCCTAAAAAGTGGGGCTTTTTCAGGCAGTAAAAGGGGGGCAGCAAGGCAGTCTTCAAGGGTATGGACGATTACCGTTCCACACTCTACGTTCTCGCTCATCGTACCGCGAAGAACCTATGTGAAACGAAACGTTCCGAAATAAAGATGCCTAACTGTTGCACTGGCTTGCTACAATTGTCGGTATTTAACCCACTATCAAATTCCCCTCAAAGTGTTTCCCCGGGATCCCAAAAAATACTGGCATCACATTCTGGATGACAACACCGAATCCATTTTTGGGAAACCCTTTGGATAACGAGTCCAGGAAGGAGCCAAATTCTGACTGGAAGAGAGGTCAGGCGGTGTTTTGTTGCTGCCGGAAGGTCGACCACGGGGCGACAGGGAGGGGACGGGACCCACGGGCCCCGGGGACCCGGGGGGGGACTCGGGAACTGTTTTTGTGGTCCCGGGTCTTCAAATGTTGTGGTTTTTTAAGGGACGCGAAAAGTGGGAGAGCTCGGGGAAGTCAAGCGGTACCTAGGCTGTTCGGGAAATGTGATATTGTTTGTACGGTGGGGAGTGACTGGGGGGGACGTGGGGGGGTTGTGTGGGGGAGTGGTTTATTGGTGGGGGATGTGATATTTCTGTGGGGGGGACCTATGGTCGTTGTTGGGAGATGGTCCGGGGCTGTGGAGATGAGCTCGAGGGCGCTGTGCTTGAGAGGAGACCTGGAAAACGCCTGCTCGTCTAAGCAAAAGGTCCCGTCTTTTGTGAACGTGGGACTTTCCAGTGTCTGTAGAGGTCGAAAGTTGCCCGGGTCAATGTGTGGGTCATGGCTCGTCAACAGCTCGGTCGTGGACACCAGCGAAAAATCGATTCCTTCTCGCCAGTCGTTGATGAAGGTGATTTAAACGCCAGGGTGCCATTAGCAAGCGAACTCGTACTTGGAGGATCCGTCACGCCTGCGTATCGAAACACGAACGTTTCCCGTTTTGGGTTTGTTCGATCCTGCAAGAAAATGCAGATAAAGTCTCAGGTACACGAACTCTATCTTCAAGCTTACTCATGACACAATGCATTAGTAGGGAAGAAGGGCGCTTGGAATGTGCAGAAGGGAAGAAGGGAGATGGATAGGTAGGCGCTGGGGAAGGGCTCTTGAGGAAGTTTAGGGTGTTGAGAGGTAAAGGGGTTTGAGGGGAGGTAATGTGTCCAGGGATTAAAGGGTAGGTATATAAGACAAGGCTAAACCTCGGAGTTCCCTATGGTGGATATGGGGTTGTAGACGGTCTCTACAGTGGCGTGACCTGCACACTCTGAAACTGTTAAAAACATTTTAGTTGTGTACCAATACTGTGTGTATTATTGTGACACGTCACCACAAGGTGTGACACCGTCACCATACTGTGGGGTTTGTGACATTGTACCATACGTTTTGTGACACCGTCACCATACTTTTTGTGT